GGCAATTGCCTCCTTTGCCCTAGGAGCCATAGCTGCCAGGCTCCCATGTGCTCCCTGCTGAGTGAAGGCTTTGCTGTCTCAGGAAATTGCCCTGTTTATACAAAGCCTCTGCCACCAGACCCTTGGACCGAAGCTCAATGATAACCCCTCCTCGCTCACACTTCCTTGGCCTGCCGAGCAGCAAATGTGCCCTCTACTAGCTTGGCCTGGGGAGGACCTGGCCTGGTGGGGAGGGGAACTAAGGGGATGAGCCTCCTCCCACTGTCTACTGGGCCAGAGTTGGGGGGAGAGGCTGTGGCCCCGGGAATCTGCAGGGCTGTCTGGAGGTGGCTCTTTTGGCTGCAAGTGTGCCAGCAAGTCTGACAGAGAGAAATGTCACAGTCTGCCTAGAGATAAGCGAAAGGTGACATGGCTTGCCTAACTAGACAGGCATCGGGGGAGCAGATGCTGGTTATTCCTTTTGGGCCTTTTACAGGCAGGGTCTAGCAACTAAAAAAAAAAACCCAAAAGACAAAAACCAACCAAACCTTGCCTATGTCAAAAGAGTAGGATTCCCTATACTAAATGGCTCAAGTCCAAAGCTACCTCAGGGTGTCTGTCCCTTCCTAGGAACAATCCCCTTGGGACTGGTGCTGGTACAGCCCACACCTCCGGCCCCCGCAGCTGCCTGGTGCACGAGCCGTCCCTGCATTCCAGAAGGCTGCAGCCTGCCCAGTGCTGTTCAGGAACCGCCGGGCCAGGCTCTGGGCCTCTCTGCCACCTTTAAGACATTGGCTATCCTCAATAGCTAGATCTAGGACCTGCGGCCCTACTGTGCACAAGGTCAGGTCTGAGGGAGGCAGCCAGCTGTGTCCATGATGAGAATGCGTGATACCAACAGGGGGACCTCAGCAGCCGGGGTCCAGCCGTGCCAGGCCCCGGTCACTGGTCTGAGGGAGAAAAGGTTTGTAAATCAAGCAGACAAAACAGAACAGTCCTTATAGCTGAGGGCTCGGCCTGCCTGGTCTGTCTTTGTTGCCAGGAAATCGGGAAGGGGAGACTGAACTGCCAGGCACATGGGGCAGCTCACTGGACCCAACCTATTGTCCAAACAGCATTGCTTAGACTCGGGGGGACTTAGCCCGGGAAGGGGAAGACGGGGCACAGGCTCACCTCCCAGCCCTGTCTACGCACAGCCTGGGGCCAGCAGCCACTCTGACTTGGGATCCCAGGCTCAGACCATGCCGGGGACCCTCCTCACTGTCCGGCTACTGTGAGAAATGTCTCTGCGCATTTGCTTCCTCTCAGCAAGTTTGAGAAACAGCCGCCCCTGTCTTACCGGGGACGGAGTGGTGCTCAGAGGCCAAGCAGCCTGTGCAGGGCCACCGGCCCACGGCACCGGGACAGGGATCCACGCGGTCGGTGGACCCTGGGCTCCTGCCTTCCTGGCTGCATGGCTCTTCTCGGGCAGCGTGGGAGGCCCCGCGTGGCCAGGCCTTCGCACAGCCGTGGCCCTCCTCATTCCACAGATAAGACAGAGCTGACATTATCAGCTTTTGTGGACCCGGGTACCTGTCTGTGGTAACTGCGTTGCTTCTCGTCAGAAGATCCCTGGGAGCAGGTCGGCCTGGCAGAAAGGACGTGGTTCTTCCCCATGTGGAGACGATTCCTGCAACCATGGACTGTGCTGCGCTCACCGGACCACAGATAAACCAGGCTCCCGTTTCCAACGCAGCTAGAATCCCCAGGGCAAAGGGGTGGCTGGCGGAGGGAGAGGAGCAGCGCCCTGACTGCCCTGGAGAAGTTCCCTGCTGTCTCAGCTCCACGCCAGCAGCTCCTCACAGATGGCCGCTGCGGGGCGTTAAGGCGGAATGAGAATCCTGCCACACAGCAGACACCAAACAAAAACACCAAGCCACAAGCCTTAGATCACAGACCTTTATGAGCTTGGAAAGGTCCACAATGGGTCCCCGCAAGTATCCCACCAGTATTTGTCATCTGAGATATTTTCTTTAACTTGTACCAAATAATAATAGCTCTAGCTGACACTTGTAGAGCCCTTAACCGAAGCAGAGGCCGGGGATGGTTAACTGCACAGCCTGCCTTCCCAGTCTGCCGGGGGGTGGGGGGTGGGGGGGTGCCCCCACCTCAGCCCCTCCCAGGCCCTGCTCCCACGGGCGGCCCCATGAGGGTCTCGGACACCTAGCACACCAATAGGTTAGATTCTTCTAGGTGGTGCTGTCAGGATGCAGGCAGTTTCCAACTTACTCTCTTTGCTTTGGAACATCGATAAATTTTACAGCTAAATCTGGTTTCCATCTCCTCTGTAGCAACAAGTGTCTTCAAACAAAAACTTAGAACCAACACATATTTTTGCTATCTTTGGACATTTTCCTAGACCTGTGAATGTTCCAAGCTTCTCAAGGCTACAGAGAGCAATGTGCTGTTTAGAATTCTGTGATCAATTAGGTCTTTTGTGTAATTAATGATACCTAGTGTGTGAAAAATGAGCATTGCCACAGCGATGACGGTGAACAGGGCGGTCTCCACCCCTGGCGACAGACTTCCTCCCCTACTGGGGTGAAGCCATCACCTCAGCTCTTGGGAGGAAAGACCCGGCCGTGGTCCAGGGTCACTGTGGGCTGAGGGCGCACTGCCATCGTAGGCTGTCACCCTCAGGGCCACTGTGAAAGGCTCAGGTTGCCACCAGGGTAAGGAGACAGGAACCAAGCACGGCAATGTTTCATTTCAAAGAGGGAATCCAAGACTTCTCACTTGATTTAATGTAAAACCAGAGAGGAGACAGTACATCAAAACAATGTCTGAAAAGAGGAACAAACCCAGAGACGGAGCCGAGAAGGCCGGCACGGCCCTCCGCTGCCTCGCGCTCCTGGGACCCTGACCCAACAGGGCTGGCTGCGTTTCTCCAGCTCGCTCCCATCGCCACCGAACAGATAAGGAAACAGAAACTATTTGGCAGCAGAGCCCAGGCAGGTTTCACAGTATAAAGTACCTGAAAGAAGCTTCTGCTCTGTTGATACTGAGATAGTCTCTTCCGGGGCCAGCACCTGCCGACAGCACTAGCGTCTGTCCCGGAGGCGGCGCAGGAGGAAAAGACCCACTTGAAACAAAGTGCAGATCACTGAGGCACACGTGACCTCACACGCATCTCCTGCTCCGTGGGAAGGCAGGACTGCGTGGCCTCCTAAGTGTCCTGTGTAACCACCCAGCAAACAGTGTGCCGGGACCAGGGGCAGTGAGGGCCTGACTTGGAACCCGTTCCCATCACAGGCAGAGCCACTTCCTGGAGTTGAGGAAGGATGGGGTCCTGCTTTTGGCGCTCTGTCCCTGTGACAGAGCCTGCTCAATGTCCCGGGGTCCTGTGAGAAGGGCTGTGCGAGCTGACCGGAGACCTCAGCCCTGCCAGGTCTGTCTTCTGCTGTAAACATGTGCTTTTAATACTAAACAGCACCACTGGCTGATAAAGGCGGGAACGCTGGGAGGAGCAGAATCCCAGAGTGGCCGTGAGAAGGAAGACAAAGCACTAAGCGATTCGAAATGAAGAGGCTCGATCGAATGATCTGCTTCTTCATCTCCACTGTTTGCACTCTGGATCCCCAGGGGCCAGTGCTCTCGCGTGGGGGTGAGTGCAAGGGTGGTGAGCAAGACAAAGGGACACTCTCTAGGGAGGACGAGGACAGAGGGAGCCAGACCCCTAAGGCACCTCTGTCCTGCTCCCCTCACAGCACCACACACCCTGGCACAAGGTAGACGGGAGGTTGCCCGCACAGTGGGGCCTGGAATCGGGTTCTCAGAGCTGGAGGACAGCACAGCTGTCACCACAGAGAACGACCTGGGAGGGTGGGGATACAAATGAAGCCCCTCAACGTCTGTCCTCTCAGCCCAACAGAGGCACTGACCTGATCAAAACCCAGGACCTCAACCTGAGATCAACTCCATGCTACATCTTCAAGGGGAGGGAGGGAGGGAGGGAGGATACTCCTAAATTGTATGGCACAGATGAGGAAACTTTCAATTAAAAATAAGTCAGCTTCCTGAGGCTCTCTGACCCAGAGCAAATCCTGGAGGAGAGGAGATCCCTCTCCGAGCATCTCGAGGTTCCTTGCCAACACACAACTGACAAGTCCAAGTTGTCTTCCTGCTGTCCCTTTTAGCTCCTGCCATCCCTTCCTGAAACTTGCTGGGAGAACAGCACAGCCATGCGCACAGTGGGACTCCATCTTAAAGTAATGCTCTCGGACCTTTAATCATATGGCCTTCCCTACAAGCCAACTAGCCTGATGTCTGACACATCTAAGCCAATTTTTTTTTTTGAGACAGGGTCTCACTCTGTTACCTAGGCCGGAGTGCAGTGGCATGATCATAGCTGACTGCAAGCCTCCATCTCCTGGGTTCAAGTGATCCTCCTGCCTCAGCCTCCCAAATAGCTGGGACTATAGGCACACACCACCACACCCAGCTGATTTTTTAATTTTTTGTAGAGAGAGGGTCTTGCTGTTGCTCAGGCTGGTCTTGAACTCCTGGGTTTAAGCAAGCCTTCTGCCTGGACCTCCCAAAGTGCTAGGATTACAGGTGTGAGCTACTGTGCCCAGCCTAAGCCAACATTTCTCATGGTGGATTTTCTTTCCTATGGGACAAGGGAGTTTTTACCTCCAAAGGGACTCAGAGGTGTCGGGTACATCTCATGTTTAAATCACCTTTATTCTTTGCTTTCTTACATTGCTTTTGTGACTTCTATTATTGATGTTATAATAGAAATAAAAAGGATGACTAAGGGAAAAAAAAGGGTAAGGAAGGAGATCGATTACATTGTAATGGCTGCTAAAAACTACAGACTGGGAACTCTTTTTAAAAACAGTGCCTCTAACATATCCGAATCTGGCATCGGTCTCACTCAGTTGCCAGGAAGTCAGGACACGCTTGACCTCATGGGGTTATACAACCACGTCCCCGAGGAGAGGAGAGGGAGGGCATGTAAAAAATGGGCACGATGGGCACAGTCTCCACCATCTTTGCCTTTTAATATAAGATTTGGTTTCATCATTTCTGAGTGTAACATATTTCTTCTAAAAATAGAGCTCTCTGCTTGTTCTGAAACTTCTTAGCATTTGCTTGGAGGTGAAGGGGAATACAGGCTGACCGTAATTCTGGGGGTGACGTTGCCAATGTTTCCGTCATAGACAAACTGTTCAAGGGATTCTGGATGCTCACAGCAAGGATGAGTTCGCTTCAAATCCATGGTACTGAAGAAACTTGACAGACTGTTCCGAGGCCCCATCTGTGCCTGGTGTGGACCCCCGAATGCATCACTAACCGAAGGGAATCAGTCATGGCTCACAGTGGCCCCTCTCGCAGGAGGTGCAGGAGACAGAACGACCCCGAACACGCCTACCAGAAGACGACAGGGTGCCCTCCTAACACACTGGTTAAGAATGTAAGTGCACACACACACGAGACGTAGGAACACAGGGCTGAAGATGTTAAACTCCCACCCTGGACCAATGCAGACCTGGATTTAATGTCATGGAACTTGCTGGGATTTTCTCACAATACAGATTAAAAGTTGGCATCTCCCCCTTCCCCCGAGGAAGAGCCTGGTTAGCTCCTGAAACCAAAGATGCCTTTGATGTATCCAGTGAGGCCACTCTTGGTCTTCTGCTCCAACTTGTCCTCAAGGGGTGGGAAAGCCACGTGGTTGAGGGCCAGGTCAAAGAACAGAGGCTTGCAAGGGATGGGCTGGAAGCCTGGCGGGAAGTGCACAAGGTTGGCTTGTTTGGTGACGAGGGAAGGGTCCAGGCAAAATGTCTCAAACCGTTCAACCAGAGGCTGGAAGTCAAATCAAAGGGAGGGATCTGGGTGTTAGTCACAGAAGACTCTCAGTGGAACATTCGCTACCTGCCGAGTGCCCAGTTTGGTGCTGTACGTGTGCCATCTCATCCGATCCCCATGATCTCCCACCTGACAGATTAGAGTCACTGAAACCCCGAGCAGGCCAGGCTGGGATCGGGGTAGACAGCCGTCGGACACACGAGCTGGAGCTCTACCCATGGGTGCTACGCTACACAGCGACAGGCTCCCAGGCTTCCTATCTGGGATGAGCTAGAGTCAGGGGTGGGGAACTGTGGCCTCAAGGTTACCTGTGGCCCCCCAGATCCACAAGTGCAGCCCCTTGACTGAATCCAAACTTCACAGAACACATCCCTTTTAAAGTGTAATTTACACTTCATACAGGCAGCTTTCAGGTCTTTGAATAAGAGAAGGGAGGGAAGTGGGGGTTTCCTTAGAAATTAAGGGTCCACTGCTCTACAAACAAGTACACACTCCTAATGAGCTCCTGATCCTACTTTTTATTCCTCGAAAGCCACGGCCTGACATACCTTATTGTCCTTGACTTGGGAGGAAGTTTCTGTTTGATGGGAGTCGTTGGTATCTGAAAGTTTCACAGAGATTCAGTGAGAACGGGATTTAGCACACAGCAGCAACAAATGAGGCCTGTCACATATATGGCTCCTAAATCCCAAGAGCAAAGGTCACCAGCAGGTGGGGAGTCAGCCCTCTCCCTCCTGGGTCCAAATTCTGCTGAGAAGTGGTATAAACAGACGATAAATCCCAGCTCCAATGCTGTCAGCCCAGTGAAACTAGCACAGTGGTGTGGAAGGCAGTTCACAGGGAGAGGAGACAATACACTAGTGTTTCTCCACATCCTCCTACACAATTCCATGCCTAATGTGGCACGGGCTCACCTAGAATGGCAGCGGCCTGCAGGGAGCACTTCTCTGACCGCACTTGAGAGATGAGCTCTTGCACGTCAGGCAGGTCCTGAAACGATTCAGAAAACGTGTTCTCCCAAGCCAGCGCCAGCTCAGAGAAGCACACCAAGCTAACCTGAGTGAAGCGATCCCACTGGTATTTTCACAGGATTTTAGACTTTTTAAACAGCTCTCCCTATTAAAACAAAACAAAATGGGAAGAGCTATGCCATGGCTTAGTAATAATGCCTGGAAACAGTGATGATGATAATGATAATACATGTATCACACACTAAACGTATTATGTGCCAGGCATTATTCCAAGCAGTTTACACAATCGCTCATTTATTCTTCTCAATAATCCTGAGGCAGTTTGCACTCCCATTTTACAGATGAGGAAACTGAAGCAGGGAGAGGTTAAATCAAGTGCCAGTCACACTCCCCCAGTGGTAGCAGAGCTGACATTCAGAACCAGGTGGCTGGCTCAAGGGCCTAAGCCCCTACCCACCACATCCCACTGCTTCTCCAAGGGGTATTCAGTTCTCCTGGCCTCAGTCTTTTACTTGGCACGACGGGAATGATTTGACAAGATCTGAATACCACAGAATCCTTCATGCCTCCGCTCTCTGACACCTTCCCCAAAACCATTCAGCACATGAGGTTGGATGGGTATTTGTAAAATCCCTCTTTCTCCTCTCCTGAGATGACACCCCACTGTGGTGATGCTGCCGCCACACCCACCGCCTCGTTCCTATCTCTCTGCCTTTGCTTGAGGCCTCTCTTACTTTTGTATTCATACATGGGCTCCTGCATGCAAGTCTGTGGCTGCAGCAACGCCACAAGCTCTCTGAAGGCAGAAACCAGGTTTCTACTGTATCCCTCCTGGGCAAACAGCAAGGGTTCTACCAGCAGCAGCGCTCACACACTGGCATATGACTACATTAATAATGATAACCTTAGTTTGCTTTTCTAAATAGTGTCTACTTATAAAATATACATGGATGCCTTGGACCGGCCAATGTTTTAATAATCTCTACACCATCACAGCAGTCTACAAGTTTAAGAAGCTAGTTGTCATTCAACAATCAATAAAATAAAGCACACCCTCCACTGCTGTACTTAACATCAGAAATTCTTTTTTCTTTTTTTCTTTTTTGAGACATAGTCTTACTCCGTTGCCCTGAGTAGAGTGTTGTGGCATCAGCCTAGCTCACAGCAACCTCAAATTCCTGGTCTCAAGCGATCCTACTGCCTCAAGTAGCTGGGACTACAGGTATGCACCACCATGCCCAGCTAATTTTTTCTATATATTTTTAGTTGTCCAGCTAATTTCTTTCTATTTTTTTTTTAGTAGAGACAGGGTCTCGCTCTTGCTCAGGCTGGTCTCAAACTCCCGAGCTCAAACAATCCGCCCGCCTCGGCCTCCCAGAGTGCTAGGATTACAGCACGACCGGCCAGTTTTTTTTTTTTTTAAACCAGAGAAATGGCTTTCCTTCTTCATATCTCAATCCTCTTCGGGTGTGGAGCGCAGCCGTGAGCTACACAGCCTGCAGCTCCCGGGCAGTCAGGGATGCTTGAGGTCCCACAGGCAGCCAGGGGAAGCCACCCCGAGCAGGAGCCCAGCTGCTATGCCCTCCAAAGCTCGTTCCAAGACCTCCTCGCGCTTAGAAACAAGGAGACGTCAAGGTCTCACCTTTAGGCTGTTCTTGAAGGCTCCAGCATCGGAATTTACTTCATTTGCATATTTCAGGACTCTATCGTACAGGACAAGGGCTTCACTCCACTTCTTCACCAACACGTAGGACTGAGCAATGAAAAAACACCTACGGGAGAGAGGAAGGGAGCCAAAGCATTCTAAAGCAACAAGTACCCAAGACCAAGTCTTTCCCTGCAGTTTGGGCTAAATATTACTTTTGGAAATAGGTTTCTAAACTCAAGAGCACTACATGGGAGACTCCTGCACCATAAATGTTCAGGTTTGCTAGGCTAACCTGCAGACTCCTCCCAGCAATCAGAGATGACCATGTAGGTCCAGGACTGAGCCACTGTCTTTTACTCACTGGCTGACCCTGCAAAGAAGGGGCAGTTTCCAAAATGCGTCAAGGACAGGCAAGAAGGCAGAATGCTGTCTGGCTCAAATATAAATCCCACCCACCCCTGTCTATACATCCAAGTCCTAATCATTCATCTCTGCTCATCTCTTTTCCAAAAACCAAACCCAAAGCTTATTTCTAACCGAAGTTCCTCCACTGGGCTCAGCACAGCCTGGGCACTGCTGGCCCTTGACAGAACCGAGGGGGCCACATGAGTGAAGACGGGGCACCCTGGAGAGCCAGAGCGCACTGGGGTGTGAGGGCCAGAAAAGGGCATGAATGCACTTGGCTCTACTCTGCCATTCTGGCTACACCTCCATCTTGCTACCTACCCAGCCTCCTTCCAGGTTACAAATAATATGATTCTTTTAAGTAACTTAGAAGTTGAGCTTTATCCCAATTCAGTTCAGGTTCCCTAAACTGGCCACTCTGGTTCTGTTAATTAACACCCTTTTTAGTGCTTGTCCCTTTTCCATGGAAGGGAGGAGGAGAGAGGAAGATAAGTTTAATGTGTGTACACTCCGACTCCCTGACCTAAACAAAGAGCACGCGAGGTACGCTGGACACTATTGGCCGCCACCTTCAGTAGACGTGTTCCTTGAACACATTGGGCTCACTATTCTCTGATGATGGGCAAGGCGACCACACGGCGACCACACGGTCAAGGGTGGGTGATCCCATCTTCCACGGGACAGGACATGCTCCAATGCAAACAGAACCGCTGGAGTCCGAGGAAACCACTGCCCGTCCCATAGTGTTGTTACCTGTAAGCCTTGTACACCAGTGTCTTGAGACCTATCTCCTTCTGGAAGGCTTTGTCCTCCTCTAAGCCAGGAAGCTGGAGCAATTCCACCAAATTCTGTATGACAGATGCAACAAGAAAATTCATGAAGAAAAGACCTCAGCTTGAGTTTCTGACAGAGACCTTAGCTCAAACTAATGGGGAGGTCTACGAAATGTGACTTGGCAGAAGTCACACCTGGCGTGGCCTCTGTTCCCCTCTCCGATATTGAAAGCCCATTTGTCCTTTACGACTCAACTCACATTTCACTCACCTTCAGAGACATCTTGGACCCTCCCAGCTGGAAGGGAACTCTTCTAGCTCTGAACTTTTACTTCAGAGGAGCCTACTCGTTTGGCACTACGTGGATGCCTTGTGTGTGTCTCAAAATCTTACTAACTGACAAACTCACGGGGCCAAGACAGTGTGGACTCAGGTCTCGGGAAGCTCCACAGCACCTGGGACGGTATCGTACACTGGTGAAGTATGCAGTGAATACCTGGGGGTTTACTAGTCCCTACACATCTGAAATACAGGAGCTCACAGACTGAACTAAGACAAGACCTTTGTCTTTTACCCAGCTGCCAACAGCTCCTGGTTGTCACAGCTCTTTTGCTATGCAGAGTTAAGCCATTTTGTGTCCAACACAGGCAAAGGACAGGGGCTTGCCTTCCCAGTCCTCAAGGTTCACCTGTAGAATGATGTCATAGAGCCGGATCAGGTCCTGGGGCCGGGGGGAGCGCTTGCTGTCATCTTCTGGCTGCTGCTGCAACAGGGCCTTCTGCAGCCCTTTGGCCATGTTCTCATTGCGCTTGATTGCTGTCGACAGCTTGATGTAAGTCAGGTAGCTGGAATGTACCACATGTCAGCTCCAGTTATGCTCGGAGAAGCTGACGTGCTGGGAAGAGCTCTGGATGATGAGTTGGGACTGACCAAGGGGAAGTGTGGGGATGAGGGTATGTCACACAGCAGGGCCATTTGGCCTGGGCCTTGAGGGATCCTCAATTTGGCTGCTATTCGGTAGCAAATTTGCAGGGGACCAGCACAAGACTTTATCACAAAATCTGACGTTAGCTTGAATTACATCCTCTGTAAATTTTGTCAAGAGCCACAGAGTTACTAATTTCAGAGGACACTGTTAGTCCTTAAGACGGCCCAAGGATGATGAGCCAGTCTCAGGAGCAAGGACTCATTCCCTGCCTAGCCCACACTACAAGGACAGCATGCTCCCATTACAACTGCTCCTGTTCATCTGACAACTTTTTCGTCTCAGAAAACACCAAGGTACGGTCTCTTCAGATGGTGATGCACACTAACCATGTGTATGTACTTAAGAGACTAACTGTGCCACCTGGAAAGTCCCTTTAAAATTTGTGGATAAAAACATGTAACTGCTTAAACATGTGTAAGAAGCATTTATACCGGTAGGTCCCCACCCTACTCTGGCGGAAGACTGGAGTCCACCCTGTGAAGGGGATACAAAAGACGCCTGTGGACAGGGGATCCAGGCATGGCTGAGTCCAGGGCTCCACGATGATCAAGGGACTGGTGAGTTTAGCACTGATCTGCTGCCCTTCCTCTCTACTCAGCTTCCAGAACAACAGCAGGCCAGTGTGTTCCAGGGATCTGACCATCCCAGGAGAAACTTCAAGATTCTGGAGTTGGGGTCCTTTGTGGAAGGGCAGAGCCAGACACACACAGCGAGGCCCACACACCTGAGTGGAGCTCCCACCTGATGAGCCTCATTCCTCAACAGGAATCCCTGACCAAGGATCACCCGAGATTTAAGGAAAACCTCTAACAAGAAAGAGGCCAAGACCAAGAGGGGAAAAATAAGCAACCTGGAGGAACCAGACTCTGCAGGGAGAAGAAAACTTCAAAAAAACTACTGTTATTGTAATAATCCCAGAAAGATGAGGGAAGACTTTACAGTTGTGAAATTAGAACGAGACATTATATTTTTAAAAATAATATTCAAAGAACCCAAATGGGCCCTTTAGATGGTATCAGAAATGAGAAGGCCTGTGTAGGGGTGGGGTGGGAGCGGGTGAGACAGGACAGCAGTGGGAGGTGCACGGAAGGACCATATCCCCAGGTCCAGACGCAGCAACACACACGTCCTTTAAAGATATGGACATGAATACCAAAAGAATTTGTTAGAAGAATCAAAAGTGCCTGCTTCTGCGAAATAGGAGAGAATGTCATGAGATGGATTTTCCTAAAAAGCTCTGCAGAGAAATCAGACTCTCAAAGTAACTATTATACACACAAGTGATAGAGGAATTCAGACACAGCGTTACAAAGTTGTATTAAAATACAAAAGCTACCTGATTCTTCATTCATCAACTTACCCCAAGCTGGTCTTCGATCCTAATTGAAATTCATGATCCCGACACTAGCTAAGCCTTAAGGTGGAAGAACGGATCCAAGGGCAAAGGCTTCAAAATTTCAGTTTCCTAAGTCTTGTTGAGGTTTCAAAGGGTCTTTTGAAGGTAAGGAAGTTAGAGTGACTCCTGACTCTTTGTGGCTGTTAACTACAAACATATCACTTAACTTCCTGGAGCCTCATCTTTCTCCCCAACTTGTTGAAACATAACATCCAAGAGCCACTCTTGCTTGACATTCTACGCAGCCAAGTCCCCTGGCAGTCGGTCTGACATTTGCATAAAACAAAATTCCTTAAGAATGGAGATTAAGGGTAAAGAAGGAAATATGTGTGGTTTTGTTTTTCTAAAAAAATGGAGAGGGGCAGGGGGATGGCTAAGGACATTGTCGGGTTCACCATACAAATGACAAGCATTGACTAAGAAATCAAAATTTCAAGGTCAGATGGAAAGAGAATCTGATGAGAAGTGGAGTTTTCCCAACAAAGTAACCATCTTTCTCTGTTGTACGTTCCAAAAAAATACCACTCTTCCTCTTTTCTCTGTGAAACAGAAGAAGGATTCATTTTTTTTTAAAGATAGGGTCTTACTCTGTCCCCTTGGGCTAGCTCACTGCAGCCAAACTTCTGGGCTCAAGTGATCCTCCTGCCTCAGCCTCCCGAGTAGCTGGGACTACAGATGTGCACCAGCATACCCAGCTAATTTTTTGTAGAGATGGGGAGTTACTCTTGCTCAGGCTGGTCTCAAACTCCTGACCTTAAGCGATCCTCCCACCTCAGCCTCTCAAAGTGCTAGGATTACAGGCGTGAGCCACCGTGCCTGGCCAGGACTTATTTTTTAAAAAATGAAACTGGACCATGTGATTTAAAAATGTATATGAAAGAGCAAAGGGATAAGAATAGTCATGATACGCCCAAGGAAAAACCTGATGAGAACTTACTCTATCAGATGTTAAGACCTGGCACAAAGTTGTAATAATTCATTGTGCCCATCCAAATACAGACACATAAATCAACGGAGCAGGAGAGTCCAGCAAAAGCACGAGGAGAAGACAGGCTTGCATGCCCAACAGAGCCGGCACTGCAGACCAGCGGGAGAGGATGGAGCAGTCAATCAATTGTACTGGAACAATCCATCATCCTCATGGAAAAAAGTGAAGCAGATCCTTACCTTACGTAAAAACAAACTCCAGATGGAATTAAACTTAAACGTGAAAGGGACAACTTTAAAACACTCAGAACAAACAGAATAACTTTCAGAGCTTGGCACTGGGAAGGAGCGTGACTAGCTCTAGAAGAAGGGGAGGAAAGAAGCGAAGGAGGAGCCACAGGGAGCTTCCAACACTGGTGTGTTCTAGTTCTGAAGCTATGTAAAAATCTTAAATTAGATATATTAAAATAATATGCAAATGTATATAGTTTTATATGATGAAATGCATGTATGTACATTAGTATTATTATATATTAGGAAATTATTAATTAAAATGTATAAGACATTATATACTCTTTTGTTCCAATGATATATTTCATAACATTAAAAAGTAGAAAAATTACAATAACCCTTACCTGTGCAGGTATTGAAGATTAGACACCTTTCCTGACTCCCCTTCAAGGGTGTAATCTCTCTGTTTCTGCAGAAAGCGAAAAAGGTAAAAACTAAAACGGCTGATCCTACCCTTGGTTCTGACCACTTCATTCAAAGGTGTGGTCCCCAAAGTGCCCGGAACATAGATACAGACTATAGTAAGTTAGGGGTCCTCAAATAACAAAGATGTACTTGACATATTACAGAATGACAGGGTCATTCAGTTGCCAACAGCACCTAAAAACTGGTCTCAAGTAAGAAAATCAGAGTAATGACCAGTTGAAGTTTTCTGTCCGCTCTTCCCAGTTCTAATCTTAAAACAGTAAAAACAGACATTGCATAGTCCATGGCTGCATGTTAGGGACCGTGGCTTAAGCCTGAGTCACACCTGTTGTGCCCTTGTGCTATCAGAGCTTGCCTTTTGTGGCTGGCTGAAAAACGGCCCCCAGCAATGTCCACACCCTAACCTCCATGGAATCTATGAAGATGTTACCTTACATGATAAAGAGACTTTGCAGATGTGATTGAGTTAGGGATCTTTGGTTATCTTGGATTATCTAGATGGGCGGAATGTAATCACAGGGTCCTCAGAAGAGGGACACAGATGGGTCAGAGATAAAGAAGATGTAGGGGTAGAAGAGGAGGGCAGAGAGGAGAGAAGACACCCCGCTACTGGCTTTGAAGATGGAGGCAGGGGCCACAAGTCAAGGGCAGCAGGAAATGCGCTCTCTGGAACACTGGGAAAGGCTTCTCCTAGTTGCCCCAGGGCTTCCGAAAGGAACATAGCTCTGGGAAGCTGCTTCAGATTTCTGACTTCCAGAACTGTGAGATAATAAATTTATGTTGTTTTAAGCCATTAAGTTTGTGGTAATATTACTGCAGCAACAGGAAATGAATGCATCTTTGTATCACCATATTCATCACGTTCTGTGAGGTGTCTCCCCGACTGCTGTGAATTTTAGGTGAGTGGTAGTGATGGGGGCTAGGGCTCTGCAGGTACCTGTGTTGAGTGGATGAGGGAAGCGTGATCCGTACAGGAAGCCTAATGGGAGAAGGAAGCAAGTGACGACATAGAGAAAGCAGTGATTTTTAAAAGAAACATTTATATTCAAGGTACTGTGGCAGGAGATGAAAAAAATACATAGCTGCTTAAATTAAGATGTTTATGATCCTGGGGAAAATATAATGAAAAGGTAAATATAAAACAAGAAACAAAATGTTAAAAGGCAACACCTGAAGTTATTGTTTAACGAGTTTCAATTTTACAAGATGAAGAGTTAGGGCAATGGCTACACGGCATCATGAATGTATTTAATACCAGTGACCTGTACGTGCAGAACGGTTACGGTGGTAAGTTTTGTTATGTGTATTTTACCATAATTTAAAAAATAATACATTTTTAAAAAGAGGCAATACATGATTAACAAAACATGATCAAACAAAAATTACAAGCTGCAAGTATCAGATATTTAGAACATGGAGAGATCTTTGTGGGCTAGGATGGTTGTAGGCATGCTTCTCAGAGATGATAAGCTATGAGCTGGACCTTGAAAAACAAGGTGGGGTTTGGATAGGTGAAAAGGGAGAGGAAAAGATTATCCAGGTGTGAGGAGGGAAAGGAAAATGACAACAGTGTGATAAACGCACTCAGGCGGAAAAGGCATATTCAGACCATGCTAAGCAGAGCAGCTCGAGGCAGAGGACTCAGAAGGACACAGCAGAGTAGTATGCTGGACACAGACTGGGGAAGGCCTGTAAACCAGCCGAAGGAGTTTGAACCATGTTTGCTAGGCCAGTGGTCTCTAGAGTGGGGCACATAAAACCTAAGGAGTGTGGGTATAAGAAGAAAATTTGAACTTATATTCATAGTTATCTATAAACATAAATGTTTGGGCCAGGCACAGTGGCTCACACCTGTAATCCTAGCACACTGGGAGGCTGAGGCAGGAGGATCACTTGAGGCCAGGAGTTCGAGAGCCTGGGCAACATAGCAAGATCCCGTTTCTATAAAAAAAAAATTTAGCTGGGCATGGTGGTGCACACCTGTGGTCCTAGTTACACGGGAGGCTGAGCCAGGAGGATTGCTTGAGCCCAGGAGTTCAAAGTTGCAGTGAGCTGTTATGACGCCACTACACTCCAGCCTGGGCAACAGAGACTGTCTCAAAAAAAAAAAAAACAAGTAAAAAAGTTTGGAGACCACTGCTCAACACCTAGAGGAAATCACTGGGCTTTTAATAATCAGAAAATGAAATGGGATTTAGAAAGATTCAATTTGAACTTCTAGAAAGAAAGGCCTCGAGAAGGCACCCAGGCCAAGACAGGAGAAGCAATGAGATCTCAGCAGTAGTCTAGGCGTAAGACAAAGGCTAATTGGAAATCGGTGAAATCCCTGGGCTGGGGAGGCCCTACAAAGGGAGAATAAATAGGCTTTGGTGACAGGGATGAAGGAGACAATCATCTAGGCTGGAAACAATATTCAATCATCACAGGGACAATATTTTTGAAAAGGAAGCATGGAAGAGGCCCTTGTTTGTCAGCTGACCACTACAACTAAAAAAAACCAGTGGCTAAGAGTGTAGCACACTCAGCCACCGGGCCACCACTTGAGAATGGACCTACACCTGGTGGTTCAGCTGATGGTCCTACCTGGTCTGGCTTGAGGTCTTCCCGAACAGCCTGGATGGCGTCCCGACACTCGCTGAGCATGGACTCAAACAGACGCTCCTTGGTTTCCTCACTTTCAGCCTAAACAAAGGCACAATGAGCAAGAGACTTTTTTTTGAGTAAATCGTAGTACTCTAACTGGAGGAGGGCATCGTAGCACTGATTCCCCCTCCCCCACTCACACATGCTCCAAATCAGAGATCATTTTAATTGTTACTATTCTCTACCGTGTAAGATTTTCTTATAGCCTTACTCATTATTCATATGGAAATGTGAATTATATTTTTAAAAGTAAACATACTGAAAAAGCCATCTGTATAACTGACCTGAAAATTTATCTGTCAGGCAGCTGATGCTTTAAATTTCTTCCTGTCACAGTACTTTCTGCTACTTTCCTCCAGTGTGTCTCCCTCTGCTCAGGACCGGGACCTGGCACCCCTTCGGGGACCTTACAGACTAGACTTGGGGCACTGCTCCTTCATACTGAAGCACAGCATGCCAGAAGTTTCTTTCCCTTTTTCCTTCCAGAACAAACTGTCAAGCTCTACTGTATGCCACACTTAACCTTTACAAATGTAACCCAACTTACAGATGTTTCTTTTAGGTTCAAACAAGTGGTAAACATTACTAATCAATACTCAATCAAAAAGACAGTTCTCCTAAATATCATACTAAGTTCTCTTCACCACAGACATTTGGCACGCAGATATTGCGCATGGCTCCTACTCTGAGAACAATTTTTAGGGCAGACAAGGCTGACAAGTATGAGATGACAGTTTTTGTACAAGTACTGGGCGTCACCCCTCTGCTACACAGCTGGGTAAGTGAAAAAGTGATTCATTAACTGAATACCTGCCAAACCAAATTATCATCCTAAAGAATCTGACTGAGCAGGTGGGAATGGACAAAAAGCAGAAAGGAGATGAACTTGTATTACTGGCAGACTCACTATGAAATTAAAACATTAACATTCCATTATTGTATTTGACTTTCCATAGAAACTGACACCCAATCTGAAAAACTGTCTCAACATTCAATTGATCCCTAAGAAAGTGCAAAAGAAAACCCAGTACTGCCCACTCCTTTAACAGATGGCTAGGAGAGGCTTAAAGAGAGTCTTTTTTCTGAAGAATTCTTACGGTTTTCCTAGTTTCCAGTGTGAAAAAAATTCCTTATGAATTACCCAATATAAAGCAAACATACTTTTCCACTTAATAAGATACTTGACATTCCTGTTGTTCACTAAATTAGGAGCAACCCAAGGGCACAGTCATCCTATAAATGTATTAAGGCAAACACAGCCACCATTAACTCACTGAAGCATAGAGCAGCACTGTCCAAAAGAACTTTCTGGGCCGGGCGTGGTGGCTCACGCCTGTAATCCTAGCACTCTGGGAGGCCGAGGCGGGCGGATTGTTTGAGCTCAGGAGTTTGAGACCAGCCTGAGCAAGAGCGAGACCCCGTCTCTACTAAAATTAGAAAGAAATTCACTGGACAACTAAAAATATATAGAAAAAATTAGCCGGGCATGGTGGCACATGCCTGTAATCCCAGCTACTCGGGAGGCTGAGGCAGGAGGATCGCTTGAGCCCAGGAGTTTGAGGTTGCTGTGAGCTAGGATGACACCACGGCACTCTAGCCCGGGCAACACAGTGAGACTCTGTTTCAAAAAAAAAACAAAAGAACTTTCTGCAATGACAGAACTGTTCTCTACCTGCATAGTAGGAGTTAGCCACACACTGAGCACCTGGAATTTTTATTAATTTACATTTAAATAGCCATATGTGTTGAGTGGCTACTGCGCTGGAGAGTACAGCTCTAAAGAAATACACATTACAGAACACTGTTAAACACCTCAAGTTGACAAGATTCTTCATAATCACTTAATCAAACTTGCTGGCCAAATGTTTCAAAGTACAAATCCTATGGAATGGTGCAGCTGTATGACACTTAACAACTGGAGTTAGATAGGTGCATAGACTTGGCACTGTTTAAGAAACAAAACCACCAACCACACTCAGACACCAGAGCCACGTTATTAGGAAGGATGAGCTACAGCACCAGTTTTAATACCATGCAATCCAACAAATATGCCACCAACACCCTTTTTCAGGTAGGTGGGGTTCAGTGGTTGGAGCAATGGGTGTCTAAGTAAGAAAAGAGCAAACTCCGTTTTACCAGCTATACTAGATCTGTCTCCTTTTCTGTAGGTAGGATATGGTTTAAATTAAAATGACACTAAAATGCTAAAACTTCTTTACTGCCAAATATGTTTGCTCCCTTTGACTAAGTAAACCTCTGTATCAAGATGCTAAACATAAGCAAACTTCCCTATTGCTTCCAAAAAATTCTAAGTTCCACTGGGAATTTTATAAAAGTCTTAAACAACAATGAAGGAAAACGCGTATCTGAAGGGGAGGACTTAAGTCAGTTGTGTTTTTCTTCTGACACCCACACTACACAGTGACTCAGAGACCACTAATCTCTGAAGGAGAACTTCTCATGATTCTCCTTGGGCTGGACAAAATGTCTCCAAACTGCAAGCCTTGAATATATTTTACTACTTACACTTTTATGCTATAAACTTACATTCCAATCCAAGATAATTCCTGAAAGGACAATGCAGTAAGAAACACCTCTCAACATGTAGAGGCAGGATTTCCTATCATCTATATACCAACCTTCCATGTCACCCACTGAACCAATGAGAATGTTCCTAAGCGCAGACGGCAAACTCCCTGCATAAAAACCTGTGGTCTGGCTGGACCTTTTTCCCAGGTGTTCCTATGCCAGAGAGAAAGCTTAAGCCCAGAAGTAATGTGTTATTTATTAGCCCTAATAATTAAGTAGATAAATTCTAGATCAATTTTTATAAAACTGGAAACCTCCAGGACATGCTTTTTCTACAGTCTCAGGCTCTGTCCTCAAGCAGGTCTCAACGCTGACTGGTGCAGAGGAAACTCAGCCGCAGTGTCCTGAGGCACAGACCTCCTGCTAGAATATTAAAAACCAGATTCCCAGATAGTTTTCACTTGTCTGTAGAAATTGCTGGAAGGTGGTGGTGTGACTAAGAGACATACAAGGCAAGTCTGAGCACATTCCCCTCCACACCCATACTGCGGGGACAGGAACCAAACCTTCCCCAGTCCTGTGAGATCTAGGAAAACACATGGAAATGTGGTAACAAAGGAGATAAATCTCACTTGAGAATAGTTTATTTTATTTTATTTTATTTTATTTTTTTTTAGGAAAAAGACGAATAGTCTCCCTTCCACTCATTAAAATATTAACCACAACTTGGTAAGAGTCATCAAAAGCCCACAGATATTTAATATATACCTAAGATGCCTAAGAATATTCCCACAATGCAACTACCAGTGACAATTCAGGAGTGGTCAAGTATTAGGAAAGCAATACAGAGATAAAGCAAGAAGTAAGACAGTATTAAGGATATGAAGACTGAAAGCTTGGTAAAGAGGCTAAAGAAACTCAGAATTTTGCAACTGGATTTTGGCAGCTAATTAACTCTAAACTCAAGTCTTTTCAGTCTAATATTTTATTCCCCTGAATTATTTCTTCTTTCCAGGCTTTTCAGTAAACTGTTATTTTAGTATTTAAACATAAAAACCTCTACAAACAAGTATCAAGCTGGGGTTGCCAAATTTTTGCATTCCAGTTACTAGAGAGTGGCAAATACCAATAGTAGCTACGTTAAGAGACACTGTAATTATATCCAGAATATACAAGGAACTCGAACACTCACCAGCAAAAAACCCCAAGTAATCCAATTTTAAAATGGGCAAATGAGCTGAACAGACATCTATCAAAAGGCAACACACAAATGGCCAACAGGAATATGAAAAAACGTTCATCACTAATCATCAGCAAATCAAAACCACAATGAGATATCACCTCATACCTGGTAGAATGG